TTCTCTGGGGAAGCTCGTGTACCTAAGCTCTCAAAAGTCTTCAGCCTGGCTCACCACTTCTCAGCTTTTGTTAATATAATAAAATTCTGACATTACTTGTGCTCCAATGTGTGCTCAAAACATACCCAGAACCTTTAATTCCTAACCAAAAAGCTTAAAAACTTTTCTGCGTTAAAAACAAACCAAAAATATCATCCTTTTCCATAAATCCAGGAGGTGGAACTTTCAGGAAAACCTGAAATCTCAGGAAATAATCTATACAATCACAGAGAGAGAACTCCTCAATCTCATGCATACGAGGGAATGGATGACCTGTACTTATTTTTGGTAGTTTCAAGTACAAACTTGGAAGATTCTTCATTTTTATAGCCTACCATAAAAATGCATATTTCTTGGGTGTTCTCTCATATGTTTTGTTTTTTGTTTTTTTTTTTAACTCTAGTGTTAAATCAAAATTTAAAATCATATTTTAAGATCAGAATTAAATAGCATAGTAAAATTTGTTCTCAAAGGATGTGAACATGAAACAGAAGTACTAAAGATGTTAGGTCATTGCAGGAAATTTGTGAGATAAATTCAGATATCAATAATGAGTTTCCATCTCCTGGTCTGACTATGTGTCCATTGACATCAGAGAGAGGAGAACAAAGCCGGTAATTCCAATTTACAATAAGAGCCATAGATCAGAAAGGAAGCACTTCATACTTCTGATGAAATATTCTTGCACAAAGGCAAGAATTGTTACTGGGCTTATCCAATAGCTTTTAGTGTATCTTTGTGGGACACTTGCATTAAATTCCCCACTAAAATACTTATAAAAGTCAAGAGCTATTAAACTGGGGGGTGGGAAGAAGTACTAAAACGCAGGACTGAATTTATGTAATAAACTTGCTTTGAACAGGATCCACTCAACTCAGTTGTGGAAGGAAAAAAGCCAGAAAGCATTTGAAAACAGTCCCAGCTCTTTACTCTTCAATTCATCTGACACCGGTTAATCAGGGACAGCTTCCCTTACTTATGACCCAAATATCTTTAAATTAATATGTTGGTTCTATTTAAATTCTTATACTACATTTCACACTGATTTGACGTTAAGGCAATGATCTTGAAAAGGGTGTGTAGGGATTTTTTGTTGTTGTCGCAAGTCTATTTTATTAGCATGGACAAAGATACTGGGACCAGTTCATAGCATCATTCTCTACAATCTGTGGGTTTATAGACTTCTTATATAAATAGAATATAAGGGTGTTTTTTTTTTAACGTAAAATCCTTGTCAGTGTCAGGGTCTTGTATCACAAATGTCCTTAAAAACTCATGCTCCAAAATTTACATTTCTGTGCCTTGGTAATTGTAAATCAAAATGGAGACCAAACACAATTAGTTTGCAATTGTCTGTTCTATCCTAAGTGGTGTCAGTGTGTTTATGCCACATAGCTGTGTTACAATCTGATCTTGAAATGTCGTTTTTCAAAACAGGAAAATCACCTCTTTAAAGTATCTTTATGTTGACCAGCAAATTGGAATGAGCTTATATAAAATCTGCTTAACACTTGTTATTTTCCCCAGGTTACAGTCCAAGCAATCATGCTAAAATTCAGCCTGTTCAATCTGCCAAATTACAAAATTTCCAGCCAGGTCTCTGGGGCATCTCTGTGCTTTCATCTAGGCACAGATACAAGGTAGTTCTCATGCACAGACTGTCCTGTCACCAAGGTTGTCTATGAATGCCAGATATGGCTCAGGACAGAAGGGAAGCAGAGGGTTTGCACGGGGAGCTGCTCTCTGGGCATTAGCAGGCACACCTACCTCAGTGAACAGCCTAAGTTTGCTTGCCCTTGAACATACTTTGAGGCAAGGCTGTGGGCGGAAAAATAGACTAAAAATACGATGTTAATCTCAGGGCATCTGACACCTGCCTGAGGATATTGGCTAATGTTACAATTTAGGATGGTTCTCCCCTCTACTCTTGAAAGTTGCAATTAAGTGAGATAACTGAGCTGAGCCAGCAGCTTACTGCTTCTGAGCAAAAGGCTCCGATTAGCTGAAGACCTTGTCTTATCTCTGTCAATAAAAGCAGTGAAAACTAGAGGATATTTCTTTGAAATTTATCTTGGGTTTCCTTGTCATGGTTTAACCCTAACCAGTAACCAGGACCATACAACCATTCACTCACACTCCCCACCCCAGTGGGACAGGGGAGGAGAATCGGGAAAAAAGGAAACCTCATGAGGAGAGATAAAGACAGTTTAATAGAACAGTAATGGAAGAGAAGATAATAAAAAAATTAATGATACAAGAATATACAAAATGAGGGATGCAATACTATTGTTGTCACCACCTGATGATCAATTGCCCAGCCCATCCCGAGCAGCAATCACGGATTCCTGCTCCCCAGCTTACTCCCATTTATATACTGAGCATGATGTCTGTGATATGAAATATTCCTTTGGAACCTTGTCCTGTCTATGCTCCCTCTCAGCTTCTATGGGGAGCTGAAAAAGTCCTTGACTTAATATAAACATTACTTAGCAACTACTAAAACAAGGTATCTTACCAACATTATTCTCACACTAGGTCCAAAACAAAGCAGTGACTAGGAAGGAAATCCCAGCTGAAACCAGAACATTCTTTCATTCATGCTGTCATTATGTGTATGTTTAGTATGCTGGCCTTGAAGGTGATGCTGGTGAGTACAGGCTCGGTGGAGGAGATAGCAGCTTTCCTGTGTGGAGCAGCACTTTTAGTGTTTGCCATTGTGAGAAACACCAACTCACATCTTAGAATTTAAAGAGGACAAAGTCACCGAAGCAAAGGTTAAAAAAATAATAATTTATTAATACGAAACAGCGCTGAATCGGGTGCACCAAAAATAGATGCACGATGATCTTTTATCTTTCAGGTATTTTATACCTTTATCCCGGCCGCTTGAGTTTCTGTCTCCCTTCTCATTGGCTGAGAAGTTGGAGCTCACATTCTTCCCGACCGCTTGACCTATTACAGGTTTATTTTGCACTTTTTCCCATATAAGGCACACATACACCTATTCTACGAAATCATTATTCTAAACACGCCTTTGATTAGTTGATTATGCTACACGTTATTTCACAGTCTTTGTTACCATTTACTTGGCAGATTTACCAGACGGGTTTCTTTGGCCTTATTGATACTCCCCTATCCTCTGGGTTGCTGTGTGGAAGGCGGTGTTGCGGTCTGTTTCTCTTCCCCTAGATAACGCTCTGCGAACAAGGATCCCTTGACAGACCAAGGGCATTTTTGGGGATTAATTGGATACAATTTATTAGACTCTACTATTACTAAGGCTTCTTTGTTAGTACTATCACACTAACAATGATACATCAATTAGCTGAAGCAAAACTTAGCTTATTTCCCACACCATGCTTCTTAAAGCAAATAAATCTTCTCCATTAATTTATTAACATGCTGCTAGTTAATACACACACACCTCCAGTGATCAGTATGTCTGTTAATGCAGCATTAGCAGTTCAACAAGTCAGCCTGGGGTTTCTGCACAAGCATGAAGCCTGCAGGATGCTTCCCACAGGCTGTGTGCAGGTGACAGCGTGTGGGTATCCAGGCTGGTAACCCAGCCTGATGAAACCTTTGCTCTGCTCTGAGCATGCAGTGCCTACAGCCCCAGTTCCCAGAGACTGTTGGGAAACGCGGTCCTCAAAATTTGGTTTCTCCAGTGGGCTTTCTACAGTCTGCAATGGAACTGGAACTCCACTCCCGCCTGTCCCGCCAAACTTTCTTGGTTTGTTTTTTTATTGTGTGTCTACGCTCTTCCCTCTCAGGGACACAACCCTCCTTCTGTGTAATCCCCCAGTTATTAGAAATCTCATCCAGCAAATGCAAAATGGAAGTCTGTATTTTAATCCTCTTTTTCCATCAGTCCATGGTGCTCCTGTTGATGGAAGGACACTGTATACTAAGGGACAGAAGATTAGTGGGAGAACGTGCATGAGGGTCCCCAGCCCATGCCTCTCACCCCACTTGAACACTGGCCGCGTATCAGCAGGGAAGCCTCGGTTCTAGTCTTGTTGCCAGCAAGTCTTCCTTGCAAAACAAGGTTGTACTAAGACTGAATGAGTTTTCAAGTTAGATTTAACAGAAAATAATATGCCACAATTGTACACACAGAGAAATAACTTTAGGGTTAAAATAAGCCCAGGCAGTAAACCAGTTTTAGTCAGGAAATCCAGTTTTCTGGATGTGCCAATTTCAAGACAGTAGGAAGAGTCTGAGACTCTCTTTCACACTCATTGTTGGATGCTTTTTGTCGTGGAGTAGTCAACATAGTGGATGTGAGGAACTCTCTTCTGCACCCACATAGCTTTTCTGTTAAATGAAACAATTTTTTTTTTTTTTTTTTTTTTTTTTTTTTTCTGAAACATCAGTTCTGGATTTAGGGACCTAGTTTGTGGGATGAGTGCTTAGCTTTATAGCATTGACAGCCTTTTGACAATTTGGTTGCTGAGTCCATATATATGAAACGTAGCTAATAATTCAGCAGTTAAAAGGTCTGGCAAGGATAGGGTTACTTCTCCCCAGGACCTAGCAGGGACACAGGTATCCCATCCCATGGGAGCTGTGCCCGGGGGTAGCAGGGAGCTGGCCGGGGAAGGAGAGGGACAGGAGGTCAGGGGGGAGAGGAAGTCACCCCCGGGGCAGCAGGGCAGGCGGGGCATCCTGGGTGCGGTTGGCAAGTGGCGGTATCATAATCGTGGCTGTATATTCCTCTGTCAGTGCTATTGCTGTTTCTTGTTCCCTTTGCCGTTCTGTTAAATTGCCTTTGTCTCAACCCACGAGTTTTTGCCTTTTTCAGTTCTCCCCTCATGGCCGCGGTGGGGGCTCTGGTCTGCGCAAGCAGCTGCCAAGTGGTTCTTTGTTGCCGTCTGAGGCCAAACCACAACAAAAGGGAATAATTTAAAGATTATGGTGTGGTCTTGTATTACTGTGATCCATATAAGAACCACAAATTGTTTTAAGTTCAGGACAGTATTAACAAGATACCTTTTATTCCAGTGAAGACTTAGACATGAAAGAACTGACATAGAAGAAAAGCAAGTAGGCAAGCAGACTATCACAAAGAAATCCCACCACAAAATCCAGCTAAAACATAAACAAAGAAAACCCCAAATTATTACTAGCTTTTATTTCATATGCAGCATATAAACACGGGCAGATCCTTTCTTTACAATCTTGCCACCAATAAATAAAAACACAAGGCAATATTTTAATTTCAAAGTGATTCCAGCATTGCAGTTTGGACTTCGTTTCTCCTAAATAGAGCTTAATGAATATGAATATCTGTCAAAAGAAGGGAGCTTCCAAGGAACGCTTGGAATACGCTCCTGTACATCCATTCCCTAAACTGGCAACAATTAGTCTAAGTAACAGACTGAGAATTTTCTGCCTATGAAAGTATTGCTAACCACCAGTAGCTTGTCCCCAAATTACTTGCTGCAGTTCTGTTACAAACATAACACATCACATGCAGACCTACAGGTAAAGAGATAGTTATCCAACGCAGTGGTAAGGATGGTCTGTAGAAGATGATAACCCAATACTGCTGAGGTTATGTGTAGGGGAGGTCAAATCTCGGGCAGATTTAAATATTAAAAAGGCTGCAGGAGACTGCTCAGTTTCACCCATCGCGTTCCAATGCAAACAAAATAGTGGAAAATGAAACTGTGTGCCCAGGGCATTTTTGTTCCAGTGAGACAAACAATGCAGAACTGAAACCTCTCAGCTGAGGTTTACAGTCTCCTTGTTGCTAGAACTGCACTGCTGGTGGCACCTGATCCGACTACTTCAGGACTACCCCTGGTAAGTCTACATGAGCTAGCAGCTCCAGTTTGACTGTAGTGGAGATGGAGATCAAATTTTGATTCGTGAAAGTATATGATCTTGCAATATGAATGCACAAACTTCCTAGCTTGACAAATCTTCTTTGGGTTGTTTCATTCTTATTCAAAAGCAACCAGCGCAGGCAGCATTGGCACAGATTTCACACAAATCATTTTCTCCGACAGCCAGGCCTGTTAGAGAGAAAAGAGAGTTTCAATGAGATGGCAAGAGAATTTCTTGGAGAGTAGAGCCACATATCAAGGGATTTGGAGACTCCTTTCTGTTACTGTTTTATGAGTTTCAATGTTGCTTGAAGTTATTAGTAGTATAAGTAATAGAAGTATATTATAATAATAATATAATAATAAATAATAAGTATAAGTAAAATTAGTTCTGGCAAAAATCTGGCTAAGGAATGAAATCAAATCTGAATTCATTGGGGAAATAATGGGAACAAAAAAACAATAGGACATCTTGTAGGAGGGTGGCGGGATGTGGCTTGTAGAATCACAACATTAATTATATTGGTAGTATTTCTCCTAAAGTATCCATTATATTTGACATAGACAAATGCAACATAATAATATTAAAAGAAAGCACACTGTAGCAGCAAGTTCAAGATTCGCTATGTGTGTCGTAGAGAATGATCATGCCAAAGATCACCTCATTTACATCTCACACCTCTTTTAGGCTACCTGGAAAATCACCTTCTTCTGCACTGATTAGAGAGACCAATTAGAACTGCTCACCAGTACTGCTATGACTCTGCTTTTCCTGTAAGCCAGAGGAGATTGTGGGCTCTCTCACTTTAAGTCATCTAAGTTAGTGTGCAGCTACTTGGAGGAAGCTTTTTCATGATTACAGCAACCTGACCTGCGCAAGCTACAGCACAGCCCAGCAGAGCAAGAATTTTCCTGCAGGGGTCTCACAGCTAGTGTAGTCCAGCCCTTGTAGGAGAGGTAGTAGAAAGGCAATATGGACTCTTGGGCTGCTTTCGATGTAACAGAACGCTGCTATTTGAATGTTTAAGGTTGAAAAGTGTAATAAAAATGTCAACTATGCAATATGAGCTACATACTCAGCCTCTCAAAAATCATGGATGCATCTCCTCTTTTGCACACAGATTGGAACTCCTCAGGGAGATCTTTTTCATCACATGGAGAATAGCTAGCCACTGAAACTGCCATACGAGGGTTAATATGTCTGTTCTCATCCATAAGTTCCTTTAGCTTCTTCACAGACTCAAGGGAGAATTTCAACTCTCCATCCTATGTAGACAGAACCAGGAAAAAAAAAGGCATCAGGAAGTCAAATCTTAGGAAAATTCATTCCATTTCAACCATGAGCTCTGCCGGAAATCTATACTAGAGGAGAAAGACAGTGTTGAAACAAAGCCTGGATAAAATCAGTGCTGACTGAAGGCAAAATGATCAGCTCTTCAAGGCAAAGACCTGTCAGAGCAGCAGTGAGACCTGGAGGGCTATGTATCACAGCGGACAGAGGCAGAGTTAGTGCATTTCTCACTCCCATTAGAGAGACCCATAAAATCTGTGGTCAAAAGACACTGGCTGGGAATCTTCAGCCTAGAAGAGAGAAGACTGGGCAATGTATGGCAGAGATTTACAAAATCATGAGCTGAACGGAGGTAAATTAGAATTTATTTTGTTCAGTCTTTCTTCTAATTCACCAGCAGAAAACTTCAAGTGTTGGCTGTCATGTGGCAGGCTCTAACCACGCAGAAGGAGTTATTCCTTCACAATGGACATTTTTAAGAGCTGAAATCCCTCCCCCCAAGGTACTATGGCAAGTTTCCTTTAATTTAAATCTCGTCTATACAATTAATGGTATACAAGTTATTGGCAACATAAATATGATACTTCTGACTCAAAGGTCATATCAAAAGCTTCAGGAGGCTGGGATAGTATTCTGGGAAATATTGCTCCATGTTTTAGATTCCTAGACCCTGTATATCTGTTAATGTTTATTCCTTCAGATTCAAGTGAAGGATGATCAAGTAACACTTACTCATTCAAATAAATAAAGTTACTCTGATACAGCATGAGACCAAATATTGTCACTTGCTTCATAGTCTCATGAGCCAAGTGTTGAATAGTGTGAGATGGGAAGAAAGTACTTGGTTTTGGTTCGTTGATGTTTTTTACAGAATCATAGAATTTTGGTGTTAAAGAACTAAAAAAACCCAACCAGAGAAACTCTGGATGTGCATTTACTTAACAAAGTCAAACTCTGTTTTACTTGCAATAGGTTTATGATTTTACTCAGGTTAATTTATCAGTCATGGTTGACTATGAAAAATTAACATTTCCTGTATAAATGCAGTTCTAGATTCAGCTATTGGTCACAAATCTCAAAAGCATAAAACAGAGAACTAAAAGAGGATGGATTTCCACAGGTACAGTTTCAGAGAAAACAGAAAGTAGGAATGAACCCTGAGACATGTATGTCCTGTTGATAAAAAACAACAATTGACCACCACCAACAAAACCACAAAACACAAAAACTCCACCACCTCAGATAAGAAAGATGTATTAGAAAGCTCAACCTGAGCAGCATCTTCCTTCCAAGATGAAAGTGCCTACTGTGTTGCTGAACTAAAAGATTTTATTACAGAAATAGTGCAAAACAGATCAGTCCATCTCTGTAGTTTTTCTGTTTTTACCCCACACCTAGTAAACCATCTTCCTACAATTTCCACCATATTCATGAAGATCTGCGATGAAAAGTGTTGAGATAATGATACTCAGTCTTCAAAAACATGATATGAAGTCAAATGAACTTAACTTCTGCTTTGCAAAATATTTTGTTAAATGGACTTCTGACATATTATGGGAGAGGGAGGGAAGCCTTGGGAAGAACTTCAGAAAACAAGACCATATGACAACTTTGTGCACTGAGTAATTTGTCAGACCTTAGGGACTTCCAATAGTCCAAGTCAAAGGAGTCCAACACACATTCAGAGTACACTGCCCATATATTGGGGGAAATACAGATTTAATGATTAATGAGGTAAGAATTCAAACTACACAGGGCAGAGAAAACTCTGGAGTTGCACTTTCTCCACTTTTACCCAACCTCAAAATGGCCATTCTCATTTAGTTACTTTTTTACACCTCCAATTGAAAAACTGAGGTGTTTTTTTTTTAATTAAGTAGAAGCTACTTCTCCCCTGGAGGGTCTAAATGTTAAAGAATGGTTTGGAAAAAAGCAATAGCTTAAACCTGTCATGTCTGGGTATTTCTGACATCTGAGGGAGAAAAAGAGGATAGGAAAAAAAAAAAAAAGAGGGAGAAAAAGAGGCACAAAGATAGTACCCTATCCCTAGAAATCTACTGCGGCCATATGAAGAGAGTCAATAATTGCTTAAAAAATATTAACTCTCTTTGTACTCTGAGGAAGTTATTTCTGTCACAAACAAACTGAAATCTCCTAAACTGTTTCTAAGGATGAGTGCAGACAGATCCAACACACTCACACTTTCTTAACTGCTTCCAGGTTGCATGTAGCCAAGTGCAGACAAGAGCACAGAAGTACTTTCTTAACTGCTTCCAGGTTGCATGTAGTATCAGTCATAGGTTCTGTGTATTTTGGAAAATTTTATATACCCTCCTCTAATAGCTTATCTACCTATTAATATTTGATTGGATCCAGTTAAGCATTTATTTCACCTTTTTAAACTATGTGATATGTGTGTAGGCTGCAAGAAGCAGGTGAGACAAGACAATTTCTCTTTTGTCACAGGTTGTTTACATCATTCTCTAAAGTTAGAGGTGTCCCCAGCTCTTGCAGCCTCACAACACATGGGATTATGTTCAAAAGAAAACTCTGGAAATGCAACACCTCAGTCAGCAAGGGATTTCAGAGCAGTGATATGGCTGGTGAAGTTAATTAAGCTGCAGCAGCATGTTAGTAATACCTGAAGCATTTTACAGAAAGAAAAGCTGAACCATAGGGAGATGAAGTTGGATATCAAGCCAGAGGAAAGCAAAATTTCAGGTCTATTAGTTTAGTTCAAGATTCCCATCCACATAATATCAGTACTTTGTTGAATTTGTAATACCAACAAATTAAAGAGCTGAAAACTCACCTGAACGTAGACAGCCTGGGAGCTGTGTACCAGTAAGAGGACTGCGAAGAATGTAAAGTAAAGAAAGCCTTTCATAATGCCCGCGAAATCTTGCCTTTCCTAACCTAAATATATTTGTTTTCTGACTTTGGTCTTTCTCTGTCTTTCTTTTATGTCTTTCAGGCTTTCTCTCTTCTTAGCACTCAGACCACCTAGCAGTCAGAGCTCTGTGCTCCCGGTGCCAAACTGGAGCTTTATAAAGACTTCACACAGCATTTGCTTGGTAATCCATTAATCTAAACTCCTTATTGACATATAATAAACCCACAGTGGGCTATCAGTTATCTACTCATTAGCAGAGTAGGCCAGTCACACCCAGGCTGATCCTGGGGTTTACAAGTCTCTCCCACTTTGAGAAACTGGCCATGACACAGGCAGGCAAAACATTCCAGCCTACAATAAATAAATGGTAGAGACTGATCAAATGCAACATCTGAAACTCAGTCTTCATATGGGGAGTGTACTCAGGTTTCTGGCCACTTGCTGCAGAGCTGAGAGAAAGAAAGGAGTTTGGAAGGAGACATAAAAAATAAAAAGGGATCTCTTGCACTGATTGCTGGCCAGTCAGTTCCCTCTTCTGGGGATTCCAGGTACTAATACTGTAGCAATGGACCGAGGCAGATGAACACAGGCTGTGGCTGCATGTGATCAGATATAAAATGTCATCCTGCTGCTGCTTTCTTCAGCACCTAATTAAAATGCACACGTTAAAGGCACAGGGATTGTAACTAAGGATAAAGGCTGCCATAAATCAAACCTATTCTTCTGAGTCTTTTAGTCTTACCCAGAAACATAATAATATTAAACAGATGAAGCATCAACATGCCTCACTCATCCCAGTTCTGCCCATCAAGCTCAGGTCCTTTAAAGTGTAAATGATTTCTGGCATATTGTGGTTTTAGAGTGACAACAGACATTATGTCAAATAATCTTCCTGAAACCAGCAGAACAGAGAGCAACAATCTGCAAGTAAGAAACAGTCTTAAATTTGAGAAATGTTTTATGATGGCAAAGGCTCTAATTATTTCTGGGCTGGCTCTGCCTTGCCCATACCCTGCACTCTGGAGGGGCTTTGCTCTGGTGTCCAGGAGGGTAGGCAGGGGGACATGCACCACTGTTGGGGAATCTGCTTTGCAACCAGCTTCTCCTAACTAATCCCTGCCATGGGTGAGTACCACAACCACCCCTGCTGACAGTGCCCCCCTTGTCCCAGGCATCCCTGGATCCCCACAGAACAGACTTTGCCCCATCACCCAGTCTTCTAGGACCTAATCCCAGCTTCCCACATGTTCAGGGGGCAGGGGGGAACATCAGGGCATGGACACAGCAGAAGCCCCTCATGCCTTGCTCCCAGCCCACCAAGGTAAGCAGACAAATGGCTCCTCTCTGGGGACAATTTCCAATTCCTCTTCCCTCAGCACTTGCCGACAACCTGCCCAGCCCTGGTAGGTGCCCAGGTGAAGGCCCCAAATGTCCCCAGGGACCTGGAAGCCACAGCTCAACCCCCCTCAGCACCTATTCTAGTGCCATTAGAACCCTTTGGGCCTTTGAGGACTGGGCAAAGGGCAGCCAGCATGGCAAACCAGAACCCAGCAAGAGACAAACTCCTTGTGGGGCTTGTGGGAGGTGCTGGAGGGTAGCTGTGGGGCAGTTCTAGGGGCAGCTATGGGGCTGTGGGGGCTGTTTGGTGTGGGGATGGCTTCTCTGTGATGGGGCTGTGTGGGGGCAGTTGCTTTGTGGTGGTGTTTGGGGAGTCTGGGATATGGGCTTAGGTAGAAGCTGTGTTGCAGTGCGGTAAGGTGTGATGGGGAAGATTTGGGAGGGGGGAGCAGGAAGTCATTCTACAGTGGGACAATGTTTGGGGTGGTTTCTGATCTGTGGGGCCAATCCTCAATGGGGCTGTGGGAGGTAAGGAGTTTCAGGTCAGAACTGCAGCTCTGGGGAGACAGACGTGGTGATGGTGAGGGTAGAGGTGGGTGAAGCTGCAGCTTCACAGTGGAGCAGTGGCCACCTCCACCTCAGTACTGCCTGGGGCAGAGCCAAGGCTGTAGGAGTCTGAGGGGGCACCAGCTTTTCCTTGCGGTCCTTGAAATCAACCCTTGCCATAGCTGCTCCTGCAGATGAGGTCCATGACACCTCCATTTCTAGCTCTGTACGTCTCAGCAGCTGGGCATGTCCCAAGACACATGGAGGGCCCCAGCACACAACTAAAGGCAAACCAAAGGTTTCCGTGAGGCACAGAAAGTAATGTGACAGGCTCAGGAAGGCTCCAAAACAAATGCAAAAGGGTACCCTGGGGACCTAAATGCACACAGAGGACTCATGGAGCCCCAAAAGAAGCGTGGAAAGCTCCTTAAGGTGCGCAAAGCTGCACAGAAAGCTCCTGAGTGGGAGCAAACAGCTTTCTGAGTGCCCAAAGGGAATCAGAGGACTGGGAGGGGAAAAAAAACACATAGGGAAGGTGCCCAGGCCTCATCCCAGGAGATGCAATCCAGAGGTTTGTAGCAGGGGATACATGCTACTGTTACCTGCAGGAACTGTACTTACCTCCCACCTAAGATAAACCAGCAGCAGTAGCAGGAAGACATTGGCATTGGCGTTGGTGCAGGGCTCAGCCTGCTGCATCCCCTCTGCTCCTTCCTCCCTGCTCTTGCAGTCACCCCACCGTGTGCAGGTAGTCCTGCCTGGCCAGGGAAGGCTGCCTATCTGCAGGGCTGAGGTAAATCCTCTGACAGCAGGATGGGGATCAAGCCCAGCATCCGTGTGGTGGGTATGACCTTGGCTGGCTGCCAGACCCGCCACCCAGACACTCTCACTCACCCTCCTCAACAAGAAAGGGGGAGATAATAAGATGGAAGAGACAATGGGTTGAGATGAAGATAGAGAGATAGCTTGTCAATTATCATCATGGACAAACCAGACTCAAGTTGGGAAAAGCTAATTTCACTTATTGCCAACTAAAAAAATGGTGAGAAACAAAGACAAAACTAAAACCATTTTCTCCTACTTGCCCTGTTCCCAGGCTCAACTTCACTTTCTTTCTTGAATCTTCTAATTTTTCCCCCCAACCCTGAGTGACAAAGTAGGGTGGGGAATAGGGGGCTGCAGTCAGTTCAGACCACTTCTCTGCTCCTCCTTCCTTCTTACACTTTTCTCTGTGGGGTCCTTTGCCATGGGGTATAGTCCTTAAAGAACAGGTCCATTATGGGTTCTTGCTATGGGCTGCAATTCCTCAAGAACTGCTGCAACGTTGTGACTTTCCATGGGGTAGAGTCCATCAGGAAGGAACTGCTCCAGCATGGGCGCTCCACAGTGTCATGGTTTTGGCCGAATTTACCAAAACCAGATGGCCCTCCTCCCTTCCCCCCCCCCTCAAAAAAAAGAGGAGAGGAAGAGATAATGAGATTTAGAAGTTTAGAATGAACTAAACTACTTTAATGAAGAATTAATATTAAAATAAATTTTAAAAAGTGAAATGGATACAATATATACATAACCGTTATCAAGCTCCCAGGAGGACAGTCATGTCACCGGCAGGCACTGGGGAAGTCCCAGACTGGACTCAGTGACGGATGGGAATGAGGTTCCAGCTCTGGAGTCAGGAACACATGGATCAGGATTAAAGGCAGATGAACAGAAAAAGTCCTCTTCGGACGTCGGCCATCGAAGAAAAAGAGGTGAGTCTTTGAATCCCCCGGCTTTTAGACTGAGCATGGGGCAGATGGGATGGAATACCCCAGTTGGTCAGGTTTGGGTCACCTGCCCTGTCCACTCCTCCCTGCAGATGTGACCCCTCCATATTTTTTCTGTTTCCGACCCTCTAATGGGGCAAATAACAAAATTGGCTGACGTTGGTTGTTATTGCAGTAAGTCTAAGCAAGGGCCTTTCTGCGTACCATTCCTTGGCACAAACATTGGTCTTATCATTTTGAGAACGAGCAGTTTTCTCCACAATCTGCCATTAATTTCAGAGAGTTAGAAGAAGCCTAGCTAAAATGTAAAATTACAGAACAGAAAATTGTTTCTGTTTTACTTCACACTGGGACACACAAGCTGCAGCTTCCTTCAGGCCACATCCACTTGATCTCTTTCTATGACCATGTGACCCGCTTTCTCGATGAGGGGAAGGCTGTGGATGTTGTCTACCTGGACTTTGGTAAGGCTTTTGACACTGTCCCCCACGGCATTCTCCTGGAGAAACTAGTGAATCATGGCATAGACAAGTGTACCCTCCGCTGGATAAAAAACTGGCTGGATGGCCATACCCAGCGAGTTGTGATTAATGGAGCTAGATCTGGTTGGTGGCCGGTGACCAGTGGTGTCCCTCAGGGCTCGGTTCTGGGGCCAGTCTTGTTCAATATCTTTATTGATGATCTGGACAAGGGGATCGAATGCACCCTCAGTAAGTTTGCAGATGACACCAAACTAGGTGGGAGTGTTGATCTGCTTGAGGGTCGGAAGGCTATACAGAGGGATCTGGACAGACTGGATCAATGGGCCAAGGACAACGGGATGAGGTTTAATAAGGCCAAGTGCTGGGTCCTGCATTTTGGTCACAACACCTCCAGGCAACACTACAGACTTGGGGAAGAGTGGCTGGAAAGCTGCCCGGAAGAAAAGGAGCTGGGGGTGTTGGTAGACAGCAGGCTTAACATGAGCCAGCAGTGTGCCCAGGTGGCCAAGA